GGAAACATCGATTGGTTGCCTCCCATAAGCGCCCCAGCTGGGGATGGAACCATCAACCTCGGTATGTGCCCTGACTAGGAATCGAACCCACAGCCTTTTGTTGTACCTGATGATGCTCCAATCAACCAAGCCACCTGTCCAGGGGATGTTTATTTTTATTTATTTATTTTTAAAAAATATATCTTTATTGATTTCAGAGAGAGGAAAGGAGAGAGGGAGAGAGATAGATAGAAACAGAGAGAGTCATTGATAGAGCCCACAACCTGGGCATGTGCCCTGACCGGGAATCGAACCCTGATCGCCTGGATCCTAGGTCGAGGCTCAACTGCTGAGCCATGGCCAGCCGGGCTGGGGGATATTTATTTTTAATGATTGGGCTCAGAACATGTATATTTTGATTTAAGTTTATAGAATTCCTTATTGAAGGAATGAAATGCACCTATATCTGGTTGAATTCTTTATCTTATCCCATTCACACGGCAACTTACAATAAAACAGGAGCAGTCTCTGCCTTATCTTTAACATGTTGGTTTTACAAAGTTTCTTCCAGTCAGCTCTGGGAACCAGGAAGCAGTTATAGTTGCCTCTTTTTTTTTTTCCAAATTTTTAAAAATGTCTTTATTAATTTCAGAGAGAGGAAAGGAGAGGGAGAGATAGAAACATCAATGATGAGGGTCATTGATCGCTGCCTTCTGCACGTCCCGTGCTGGGGATCGAGCCTGCAACCTGGGCATGTGCCCAGACTGGGAATCGAACCACGATCTCCTGGATCCTAGATTGATGCTCAACCGCTGAGCCATGCCTGGCTGGGCTAAACTAAAAATTTTAAAGGAAACATTTAAAGACTACATTTAGGTCATCAGTTCATTTATTCCTTATTGACTTTTAGTCTCTTGTTGCTTTCATGCTTTGTCTTTCAGTGTTTGAGATACTGTTACTTTCAGTTACTTCTATCATATCTTTAGGTTTCAGAAGGGCAATATTCAAATTTATTTTTTCTTTAAAAAATTTTTCCTAAGTACCACAGACTATTTTTTGTATAAATAAACTATTCTTTACAGCCTTGTGATTCAAGTTCAGTGACATTGGTACCACATGGGAGCTCATGAGACATACAGAATCTCAGGCCTCACCCAGACCTACTGAATCTGAATTTGTATCTTAATGTGATTCCTAGAGGATTTACAGGGCCGGATGAAAGTAAGTTTTTAGTTCATATGGAAAATAACATAATAATTTATAAATAATAACACAAGAATAAACCGAGTACTCACAACTGTAAACCTACTTTTGCCCCATCCTGTATGTGCACATTATAAAGCTAACAGTGCCAGCCCTGGCCAGGTGGCTCACTCGGTAGGAGCATTGTGCTGCACACCAAAAAGTTTGTGGGTTCGATTACCAGTCAGGGCACATACCTAGGTTGCAGGTTTCCATCCCCTGTGAGGGTATATATGGGAGACAACTGATTGATGTTTATCTCTCTCTCTCTCTCTCTCCCCCCCTCTCCCCCCCTTCCTCACTCTCTCTCTAAAATCAATGAACATATCATCAGGTGAGGATTAAAAAAACAAAAAACAAAACAGCTAACAGTGCCAGCCCCAGGTTCCCAGGGCCTTCTGTTCAAGGCCAGTCTTTGCCCAGTCTTTGCACCTGTGCCCCTGGTTCCATCCCTTCCCATCCCTTTGGGGACACCCCCCACTTCTTCTGCCACCCACTGTCGTCATCATCATCACCATCATTTACAATATGGCTTAGAGGTTAAGAAGGAAAGCTCTGCAGCCGGACTGCCTTCCCTGGAATCCCAGCCCTGTTGCTTCCTACTTCCGAATCAACACCTCTGCCCTGCTCAGTGAGTCCAGCTTCTCCAAAGTGAGGGCCACACCTAATTAATTTTTGCCCAGCACAGTGACTGGACATAATAGATGCTCAGTAAATACTGCATGTATATTGTTAAAGTTGTCAGTGTTGTTTAGAAACAATAGGAATTGAACTACTTGTATGATGATTAGTAAAGGTACTGTTCAGAGATTTAGTAGTTAAAGATGAACATAATTTAGTATATTTGGACATCATTTCAAATAAAAGAATGGATTAAAAAGAGTGTAAAGTAAGTGGCCATATTAGTAGACTTTTAAGTTTGTGTCCTTTGGGCATTTTTTTAGGCTATTCACAAAGTAGGGCATATTGACATTTTCGGTACCTACTGTTGAACCAAAAAGGTGGTGTTGAAGAGGGTCATTTCTTATTTGTGTGGATAGATGTGTGAGCAGCTTCTTCCCTATTGATCTATTTGGGGAATCCTTTGCAAAGTCAATACTGATACTTTTTTGTAAAAATACCTTAAATCAAATTTCTCCAGAGATGAATGGTGTGGGACAATGTCCTGACTTTCAACTGTCTTGTCAGAGTTTTACTATCTGGTTCTTCAGGCTCTCAGAGAACATAATGGCTTTGTTAGGTTGTTCTCTTGTCTGCTGAATGGCAAGGACAAGAAATGCCATTGGCTGGTGGAAGGGTGGAGATGGCTGGTCAGCCATGTGCTTAAGGGGCCACAAAGGAGCCTCACATGTCATGGCTCCGATGTTGAGGCAGTCAGAGCGTCCTCACGCTGAAGATGCATTTATCAGGCTGGCATGCTCATTATGAAATGCTATTGCACATTGATTCAAAAACAATACTTTCTTTCATTTTGATTCTGTAGGAACCTAGAAAGATTTTGCAATGAATGGTGATACTCAGGCCGCAGTGGTGACCTCACCACCTCCGACCACAGCCCCTCACAAAGAGAGGTACTTCGACAGGGTGGATGAGAACAATCCGGAATACCTGCGAGAGAGGAACATGGCACCTGACCTTCGCCAGGACTTCAACATGATGGAGCAGAAAAAGAGGGTGTCCATGATTCTGCAGAGTCCCGTAAGAGCAGCTTCTTCTCAAAGTATTTTCTTCCTTCTCTAGTGCTTGCAGCTCTGACGCTCTGTTGTGTGTGTCGTGGTCAGGTTGTCTTAACACAGGAAATCAGGGCCTCGTAGATGTGTGTCCCTTTTGAAAGAATTCAGTTTAGTTCAAGTTATCAGACATAACAGAGGAAACATCTTCGGTGTCACAAAGGATAGCAGGTGTTTATTTCTTATTTTTACTCTCACTGCTTCTCAGAGTGTCTTTCTTGGCACCTTTCAAAAATTACCGTTTCCTCCACAATACCTGGCTTGGTGCTGGGCACATGGTAGGCCTCAGCAGTGCCTGATTTACTGATTGATCAGCATTTGAACTGCAGTCATGCCCAGCAAAGTGTCTTCTGTTTGCATCTCTAGGCAAAGGAGTGCTGTCTTTATCTTTTCTCCCATGGACACTGCTGCCCTTCGTGCTGCATTCTGCTGATGTGTTCTTTATTCCCTCAGTATTTGGGGATGCCATTGCAGATAGTCATTGGTTTTTGTTGTTGTTAATCCCCACCCGAGGATATTTTTTCCATTGCTTTTTAAAGAGAGTTAAAGGGAGAGAAACATAGATGTGAGAGAGGCACATCAATTGATTGCCTCCCACACGTGCCCCGACCCGGGCTGGGGATCGAGCCTGCAACCGAGGTATGTGCCCTTGGCCAGAATCGAACCTAGGACTGTCTGGTGTCTAACCACTGGGCCAAACCAACCAGGGTGTCATTGAATTTTTTATTAGTGTTTATTATCTTTTATGTGCTATTCAAAGAACTGGCCTCTAACTCTTGTTTGGTGGTTATTATCATTCACATGTTACTGAGGTGTAATGTACAATAAAGTACACAGATCTTAAGTGTACAGCGAGATGGGTTTTGACAGTTGTGTGACACCTGTGTAAGCATTGGATCAAGTCTCAGACTGTTCTGTTTGAAGGAGATACGTAATAAAGAGCAAACAGAGGCCTTGCCAGGAACAGTTAGCTGGTTAGGTTTGGTCTGACTTGGTACTACGGGCTCCTCTGAGGAAGGAAGGTGGAACCTGAATCTGGAAGGAGCTGGCTTCTGTGCAGGGGACAGGGAGGAGCATTCCAGGTTGAGAGAGGGGCTAATGTGCATTCCTAGGACCTGGGTGAGCATGGGTGTGTTTGAGCATAGGAGGGACAGGGAGGGAGTTGCAGCGGGATTGGAGAGGGAGGAGGGAACAGGTCCTGGAAGGCTGGGGAAGCTCAGATCAGGAGTTCATTTTGCACTCAGAGCACGACAGTCACTGGAGGGCTGCAGACAGGAAAGACAGGATTCTGTTTTTACAGAACTCATTCTGGGATTGGTGTAGAGAGCATCCTGTGGGGCAAGGGAGAAAGCTGTCTTCCAAGCAAGAGGTGATGGTGGCTTGGGTCGGGTGCCACTCGAGAGGTGGAGGGGGTAGACTCACTTTTTTATTTGATTGTGGGATAAATCGGAGGAAGAGGTGAGAGGAAAAAAGAATTAGGACAACGTCTAGACTTTTGGCTTGAACAGTTTTCCTACAGAAAAGCAACAAGTCAGTAGGAATAGAGTGAAGAAACTAAACTTCCAGCACCTAGTATGTGTCAGGCACTGTGCCAGGTACTGGGGATGCAAAGATAGTCAAGTCCCTCCCCAGTTGCCTGTGTAAATGCAGTGTGGGATCCTGGAGCAGAGAGAGGACATTAGTGCCAAGACCGGTAAAGCTGGGCTCACTTCATAGTCACGTACCTGGTGTTGGTGTCTTGGTTTTAGGAAGGAATGGGAAGGCCCATCGTGGGCACAGGTGCTGAGAGTTGGGTAGCCTTGAGGGGAACTTGACTCTGTTCTGGGTGAATTAGCACGTGGAGTCATCTGCTGAGAATGGTCACAGGTTGCAGTGTAGGAGCTGGGAGGAGAGAAGGCATGGAGCAGGCGAGGGAATGGGCAAGGAGAGTCGAGGATGGTCGGGAAGGTAAGGGACGGTGAAAAGGCTTCAGGGTTACGATGGGGTTGAAGGAAGTGTGAGCTGGATGCCAGGAGGGGCTGTTTGGAGAGCATGTGCTTGGCTCTGAGAGTGAAGATTGAGCAGGTCTAAGACTGACCACGGAAATGGGAGGTGAGTTGGATGACAGGGTGACTGGAGGAGAGGCAGTCAGGACGTTGTGAGGTGAGAGTGTGGATGTTGAACCATCAGGAGTTAGGACCAAGGAAGCATGCAAGGTCATTGGCCAGATCCAGATGGGTGGCTCCAGGCCCTGAGTGGTCACTGGTAAGTTTAGCGCCTTACTGCACATACAGGTTATCTGGGCGACTACTGATACAGGGGCCCCTTGTAGTGTCATTCTGTGTGTGCGTGTGTTTTCCTTACTAAGCCCTATGTTCCTGGAAAGCAAGAACCATCTTTTCCATCTATATAAGCTCAGTGCCTGGTACTTCTATATGTTGTACAGTGTATGTATGTTGAACTATAACTTTTGGCTTATAGCCCGTTTCAGGGTTTATATATATATATATTTTTTTACTTTAAAAAAAAATATTTTTATTGATTTTTTTCTAGAAAGGAGAGGAAGGGAGAGGGAGCGAGAGAGAGAGAAACATCGATGAGAGAAACATACCGGGCATATGCCCTGACCAGGAATGTAACTGAGATCTCCTGGATCATAGAGCGACACGCAACCATTGAGCCACCCTGGCCGGTCTACATTAAATATTATTTATAATTCTTTGACAAGATTTATTTTTTATAGGATACGTGAAAAATTATTTTAATACAGTTTAGGGAAACTATATATTATGTGTATTGTTTCAGTAGTGACTTCATGTTAAAATTGCCATCAACCCAACTTAACCTTTCTGCCTAATTTAGGATTATTTGATAAAGGATGAGTGTTGTAGGGTTTCTTTTTCAACTTTAAAGTAATTTCAGAAAATGTATCATGAAGAAAATACTGAGAAGTCCCAAAGTAGAACATGAAAATCACTAGTCATTCTATCACAGAATTATAGTGAAAATTTTGATGTATTACTTTTAGGGTTTTTTCTGTTTATATATGTATTTGCTCTTATAAAAACTGGTTGTATTTCTTTATAACCTTTTAACTCAAATATATATCAAGAGCACATTTATGTCATTTAATTCTTTTGGCCTTTCATGTTGAAAGGGTGTAACATTCCATTGTCAGTTGGGTCTGTGTATTTCATCAGTCTTCTGCAGCTTCAGGTGTGACTGTCACCTGTTTCTTCTTTGTCAGTACTGTGGGGGTGAACATCCTTATGGATTAATCTTGAGCACATCCCTTGTTGTTTCTTTAGAAAAGATTCCTAGGAATAGGGTGCCTGCTTAGATTATTACGCTTTTATATTGTTAAATTACTTACCAGAAAGAATGTACCAATTTATGTTTCAAGTAGCTATGTATGAGAGTATCCGTTTACTTTTCTAGGACTGAAAACAAAGCAGCTCAGTCTATGTGAAAGGTACCCTTGCCTTCTCAAGGAACATAGGAAATGGTGTCTCACTGTTTGAATTTATCTTTTACTAGGCTTTCTGTGAAGAATTGGAATCAATGATACAGGAACAATTTAAGAAGGGGAAGAATCCCACCGGCCTGCTGGCATTGCAGCAGATTGCAGATTTTATGACCACAAATGTTCCGAATGTCTACCCGGCAGCCCCACAAGGAGGGATGGCTGCCTTGAACATGAGTGAGTAGTTCCTGACTCTGTACGTGCTCTCATTTTCCAGGAAAAATTTCCTGATTCTTTCTCAGGTGAAATAGATTTAATACATAGAATGGATGTTTTTGAAAATTAATGTGTTTTAGTTATAGGTAAAAATAGACTGGAAGCCTGAAAATGTCTCGAATGTAGAAGGCTCCTTTTTTATGAGCCAGTGAGACTTATTTCTCAGGCAGACGACTTTTTATGTGGCTCCTCAGACCGTGTGAATTAAACTAAGCGGAAATAATGCTTGTGGATAGCACATTGATTTTGCCTGAACTCATTTCAGCCAGGCCAACATTTCTTACCCACCATTCCTCACTGCTGCTTACAAATGAATGAGAAACAGAGAGATTCCAAATGAAAACCAGAGGGAAAATATTGGATGGGTACATGTGAGAATGTGAGCAAAGGTGATTAACTCTTCAAAGGTGGAGCCCAGGGTAACTAGAGCATTGGCTAATGTGACCTCCTGTGTACTGAGCCCTGGATCAGACTCTGGTAGTTCTAGCTGGATAGTCGGCTTCTGAGTGACCAACATCAGGTGTTGGTGGTTTCCGTTAGATCACCTGGTATTTGCTATTTATCTATCTGTTTCGTGGTACTCTTAGAGGTGGACTGACATTCACCAGAGTCACATCTCATTAATTTCTAGAGACACTTAATTTACTAGCTCAAAGCTCCCTCCTGAAGTCAAATAGCAGTCAGTAAGGTTTTCATGTTTTTTTAAAATATGTTTTTATTGATTGATTGATTGACTTTTTATAGAGAGGAAGGGAAAGGGAGAGAGAGAAAGGCACACAGGTCTGGTGGTTTCCTTTTGTGTTGTTAGCAGCCATTGATGTTCAGTGCCTAGATCCATTAATTGAATAAAGGTGTCCAAGATGGTGATATTGTAATTCTTTCATTTCTTCTTCCATATGTATATACACACACACACACACATTTTTATTATACATATATGTGTGTATATATATGTGTGTATACACATACACACACATATTTTTATTGATTTTAGAGAGAGGAAGGGAGAGAAGGAGAGAGAGAGAGAGAAACATCAATGATGAGAGTCTTGATTGGCTGTCTCCTTCATGCCCCCACTGGGGATTAAGCTCAAAACCCGGGCATATGCCCTGACCAGGAATTGAACCTCGATCTCCTGGATCCTAGGTTGACGCTTAACTGCTGAGCCACGCCCGCAGTTTTTGTATGGATGAACACGATATTGTTCTGTATGTTTTTCACATGAAATTAGTTTTCCTGGAGGAGCTGGTTCAGGAAAGCTTTTCCAGAGTCATGGCTCTAGAGCTCCCTCTTCCTTTGTGTTTGTGAAGTGCTGAAAAGATGGTGCTGATTTAATGAAATCAGGTTGTTCTCCTCCTGTGCTTTTATCTGGACCTTTCTTTCCTTCTCTTTTCTTGATAGTCTTCTGATTTCTACAAATTTCTTAGTGTGGGACTTTGTCCTGAAAGACCCTGTGGATGGTTAGTTTGGATTAAATTGTGCAGAACTCCTGATTTCAGCTGCCTTTCTGAACCTGGCCCTCTGCGCTTCCTAGTGGGTTCTTGTTGGTTCTTTTGGGAGCCTCAGGTTTGACAGATGGTCCGTACTGATATTATGCACTCTGCCTGTGACAGCTGTGCCCCTTATTTTCAGTGTCATGGGCTTACCTTGTTACCTAGTGTGTTATAGAAGTCTTCCTTGGGTTTTGGTTTTGCTATCTCTAGTTATTTCAGTTTTTTGTGTGGGGTTGGAATTTTGATTTAAGAAGAATCAAAAACTATACTGCCACTACCACCATCAAAAATCTAAACAGTTTTAAAAAATTAAAGATCTAGAAGAAGATTAATGTATGTTGGTTAGGACGATAGGTAAGCGGTTCTTTGTGGTGTTCTCTGTACTTGTCGGTTTGCTTGAGATAGTTCATAATAAAAAGACAGGGGTCAGATCTAACAGTGGGTGATGGGAATAATTTTGTCATGACCAAGTAGGGCCAAGCAGACAAATTCTCTTTCCTTCTTTCAAATGTGTGTGTTTCGTTTTTGTTTTTCCCTCCCTTTTTCCTTGCTTTATGGATCCCCAGTGCAGTATTCAGTAAGAGCGCACAAGTAGACTTCCTTGCATTGTTCCTAATTTTAGAAAAACATTCAGCCTTTCATCATTATGTTGATATTAGCAGTAAGTTTTTTGTAGATGTCTCATCAAGTTGAGGATATTCCCTTCTATTCCTAACTTGCTCAGAGCCTTTATCCTAAATGGATGTTGAATTTTATGAAATGCTGCTTCTGCACCTATTGAAATGATTCCATGGTTTTTCCTCTTTGATTTGATATGGTGAATTATATTGTTTGGTTTTTGAATGCTGAACTATTCTTGAGTTTAACCCCTCCCTCCCAGTCATGATGTGTTCATTTCATGTATTGCTGGATTATTTGCTAAACTTTTGTTAAGTAATTTTTAGTCTGTGTTCATGAGAGATATTGGTCTGTTTTTTCTTGTAATGATGTGTAATGCAATATCTTGGTGTGGTTTTGGTGTCAAGGTAATGGGGGCCTGGTAGAATCAGTTGGAAAGTGTTCTGGAAGAGTTTATGTAGAACTGGTATTATTTCTTCTTTAAACGTGTGATAGAATTCACAGTGAAGTCATCTGGGCCTGGAAATAGGGCTACTCAGGATATCTGTTTCTTATGGAGTGAACTTTGGTAGCTTGTATCTTTTAAGGAATTTGTCTATTTTATCTAAGTTAAAAATTTGCTGGCATAGTTCTTCATATTATCCCTTTAAAAAAATATTCTTATTGATTTTTAGAGAAAAGCATCGATGTGAACATCAATCAGCCTCCTCCTGCACGCACCCTACTAGGGATCGAGCCCACAACCCGGGCATGTGCCCTGACAGGGAATTGAACCAGCAACCCTCTAGTGCACAAGATGGCACCCAACTGAGCCACACAAGCCAGGGCCCTTTATTACCCTTTTAATGTCTGAAAGATATATAGTGATGTCCCCTCTATACGTCTTCATACTGATAACTTATATCATGGCTGTGTTTTGTTGATGAGTCCAGAGGTATATTTTATTTTGTTTTGTTTTCATTATTTTATTTCATTTTTAATCTCAAGACTAAATGCTTTTCTCTATTATTTTTCTGTTTGAGATTAGCTTTTATTTTTTTTATTCCTTTTTTCTTTTAATTTTGGATTTAATTGGCTCTTTCTACTTTCATAAGGTAGAAACTAGATCATTTTTGAAAAAAAACTTTTTTCTTTTTATTTATTTTTTTAAATATATCTTCATTGATTTCAGAGAGAGGAAGGGAGAGGGGGAGAGAGAGAGAAACATCAGTGATGAGAGAGTTATTGATTGGCTGCAGCCCACAACCCGGGCATGTGCCCTGACCGGGAATCGAACCCTGATCGCCTGGATCCTAGGTCGATGCTCAACTGCTGAGCCACGCCCGGCTGGGCCCTTTTTTCTTTTTAAATAAATGTTTAACACTATAACTATCCTTCTAAGCTTTTCTTTATTGCACCCTACAAATTTTGCTACCTTTTTGTTGTTGATTTCAGCTTAGTTGTATTAATGTTGGAGAATTGGTCTTTTATGAAATAGTCTTAGAGTTTTCAAGTCTGAATTTATGGTGTAGTATTGCCCAGCTCCCCACATAGTATGGGAGATTAATATCTCAGAACCGCTACTGTTTAATTCACATTTGGCAAGAAATATTAAATCTTTGAGTTTTGTATATATTTCAGGTCTTGGTATGGTAACTCCTGTGAACGACCTTAGAGGATCTGATTCGATTGCCTATGACAAAGGGGAGAAGTTACTGAGGTGTAAATTGGCAGCATTTTACAGACTGGCAGATCTCTTTGGGTGGTCCCACCTTATCTACAATCATATCACAGTGAGTATTGGGTGGGGTAGTAACTGCATGTAAGTGGACTGGTGTGTGTCTGGTCCCGCCTCTTCTGTTTAGGAGAAGGGGGGAGACACTGCACTGAAGTAAAGCTGGGAGCAGCTTCTTTCTGATTCCTGACTGCAGAGTATAATAATCTGAGAACTATCAGGTGAATTAAAAGTTATGAGAACAGAGTTCTTTAAAACCCCTTTCTTGCATGCTAACCTAATAAATGAGTGTTTACCAAAGTACAGGTGGATTTTAAAATCTTCTTATGCCTAAAAACCTAAGAATGAAGCTGTTTTCTTTCCTTCTAGCTCTTACTTTACTTCTTTAACTATTCTAGTTTTAGCTATTTTTCAATATTATCAGGACCTCTGTTTCCTTCAGTCCATTCTTACAATAAATATTTACTGGGCGTCTGCTGTAAGTATTTATTGTTCTGTACCAAACATTGTTCTAACTCTGGGGTTACATCAATGAACGAAAATGCCCTACCTCTTTCTTTGGGTCTTCCCTTCTCCATCCCAATCCATCAACCCATATTCACTCCTTGTGTTGTCCAGCTAGAATTCAGGGACATTTTAGGAACAGTCTTTGCTAACACCATCCTCTCCCTCCCTGGACCTGAGCAGCCAGATCCTCCTGCAGAGAGCCTCACAGCAGAGCCATTGGCCTTCTCCATAGATTTGCAATGCCTCACAGCAGAGCCATTGGCCTTCTCCATAGATTTGCAATGCTGGTTTCCAGGGGGGACCCACCACACTGCCTGGCAGCTGTAGGACATCTCTCATAAGCTCACTCATACTTCTGCTATTTCTGTTCCCTTTGAAATTCCTGACCTCCTTCACCCAGCAAGTGCCCACGTTGCGTCACAGAGAAAATGGGAACTCCTTACTGACATTTGAACCCATTCTATACCCCTGACCACTGTTACTTTGTCCTGCCTATGGCCAAACTTGATTTCCTGCCTTGGAATTACACCCCCTTCTGCTTTCTTTGGTTATTAATGCATTGCCACATTTTTTGTTTTTTTTCCCTCTCGTGTAAATAGCCTCTTTGAATAGCTTCCTTCCTTTGACTTTTAAACTTGTTCCAATATTTGTTTTTTTTATTCAGTTTCTTTCATTGGATATTTTTCATTACCAATATAGTTCCTGCTTATAGTAACAAGTGTCCCTTACACAGATGTCTAAAGAAGAGTCGTAACCCTGCCAACACTGTCCTCTCCCCTGATATAGCCATTTAGATTGCGTTACCCTTTTCTCGATACTCAGCACACAAAGGTGTTTTTCACCTGTGGCCTGAACCCGTGGTGCTCAGTTCAGCCCCGTTCTCCATTCTGAGGTGTGCTCTGGAGCCCGCCTTTGCGGCCAGTGCACTGTGCTTCCGGAATGGGATATGGGTCTTTGCTAGAGATACTGAGTTACCCTGCCCTCCGTCTAGTCTCCATGTTGCCACTGAAGTGAACTTTTCAGAATGCAGACCTGCCCCTGCCCACACTGTCATGCTTGTAGACTGTCACCCCACCCGACCGAGTGAAATCCCCAGCTGAACTGAGCCTACCTCAGTAAAACTGTGTGAACTCTTTGGTGCCTTTTGATGCTTGATCGGTGGGTCCAGTTAGCCCTCCACAGCTGCCAGCTCCGTTCCCTGTGCCTGCGTGAAAGTGACTGGGCCTGTGTAGAGATTTAATGTGAGACGGTTGCCGAAAAATTAGTTCCATGAAAATGTTAAAGCTGTCATAGGAAATGTGACCCTTGGCTTTAACAACACTGTCACATTCTTTGAAAGTTTTAAAGTGCTGTTTTCTACTAGTCCTATTGTGAGTGCTGTTTAAATAAGTTTGAATCCCCTAAATTGCTTGCCACCCCTCCTTAAATTATTTAGGACTTGGCAGAATTAAAACATTAGTTAAGTGTTTACTCTTCTGTCAGTGGTCTGAGTAAAAAAGAAATTGAAGTTACCAAAATATTTCCTTTATCTTAGAAACTAGAGAATCTTTGAGGAGGAAAGTTTGTGTTTTTTAATTATTTATGGCATCCATTTTTGTTACAATCTAGGTGCTATCATATGGACACTAAACAGAAAAGAACTTTTAACAGTATTTATTAGTGTAACCAAAAGTGCTAACAGGTCATTGTGCACTTTCTTTGAAAGAGCACCATGGGGATTTTCTGCTAAAGAGATTTAAAAATTTGAACAGGTGTTAGAGGATTAGAAAGGATTGTCTGAATTATATCTCTGTTTTCAGATTGCATTGGACTCAAAGAAGCTTTGGGGGGCTGTCAGGAGACAGGGTGGCCCAGTTAGCACATGGGCATGGCTTCCTCTCTTGGTGATACTTGGCTGGTGGCAGAGTTTTTCTATTCCTAAATGCCTCTTGTCTCAGCTCCAAGGCGGTCTGACTGGAGCCCATTTTTGTGACCACTGTGCATCTGGGATGGGATACACATCTTTGCCAGAGACACTGATTTTCAATGCGTGATCTTAAGATGTGTGACACTAGAGTTTGTTCCTTGTACACAGAGAAGGGCATTAGACTGTGGGAAGACATGGGAAGGCCGGCACTGGTCCATCGGGGAAGAGAAAACTGACTGAAATGTCCTTCTCTCGTTGTTCTCTTTACATCTGTATTTAGCATTTTCTCTTTGCTTGAGACTCAGAAAAGTGTGTATTTTAAGCTTTTCCCACTAAACTATGTAGACCTATTAAGCATACTCTTAGAAGTAATGTTGAGGAGATGAGTGGAAGAAGAAAACATGACATCCAAGTGTATTTATTGTAGCCTTACCCATAATAGTAAAACATTTTTAGAGTAAATATCCAACAGTAAGTGGGAAGTGACTCAGTTATTCAACATCAGTCTGGGGGAATGTTATACACTGAAGATCATGTGAAAACAGGAAAGTGAAAAGAATGTTATTATAAAAGAGAAAATATAAAATGTATAGTTTATAGCTGTATGGATTATGTATTATAGACAAAGGAAAAAGAAGTGAATAAAAATGGCCATGTAGTATTTTTTATTGTGAAACCTGATAGTACGCTTCTAAAATGTATACGAAAGATAAAAGGCCAAGAATAGCTATGAAGAACTAGGCAAGGAGATTTTTTCCTACAAAATGTCAGACTTATAAGTGATAGTAATTAAAATAGTCTGCATTGGGCGAAAGAAGAGGCAAATAGACCAGCAGAACAGAACAGCGCCCAGAGCCAGGTCTATGAGGTCGGCATTGCAGGTCAGTGGGGGAAGGGTGGACCAGCCAGGAGTTGGTGCTGGCACAATTGGATTGAAAAATCAGAATTGGAAAACTGTGTTGGATTCCTGCCTTATACTGTATATACTTGCAAAGCAATTCCATTGAATTAAGGATTAAATGTGAAAGGTAATACTTTAAGAATTTTAGGATTAATATAGGTGAAAGTCATTGATCTTTTTAAACCGCTGACGGAAGGAAAGATATCTTAAGACACAAAAGCACCTATCATAAAAGATGGGTCAATTTGACTACATTAAAATGAACTATTTTCTTATCATTAAAAGACACCACAAAGAAAGTGGTAATAAAAGCTGCAGCTTGGACGATTTTACTTCACAGGTAGCCAACAAAAAATTAGTATCTAGAAAAAAAACTGTCAAGAAAAAAAAGGACAGCCCAGTATAATATGGAACAAAAGACAAGAAAGGAATTTCACAGGAGAAATAAGAGTGGCTCATAAAAATATGAAAAGTTGATATCCTGTCCAGTGTAGCTCCACGGTGAGAGAGGCAGCCTGCACTCGGGTTTGATTCCCAGTCAAGGGCAGGTACCTAGGTTGCAGGTTTGCTCCCTGCCCCTAGTCAGGGTGTGTGCGGGAGGCAACCAATCGATGCATCTCTCTCTCACATCGCTGTTTCTCCCCCGCACACTCTCTCTGAAAATTAATGGAAAAAATGTCCTCAGGTGAGGATTAACAACAACAAAGGAAGATGAAAAGTTGCTCAACTCATTAGTAACCAGGAAATTATAAGTTAAAGCCACAGTGGAATGCCATTTCACAGACATCAGATTTTAATTTTTGCAAAAGATGGTTGTAAAAGCACAGAATTCTCATACCCTACTGGTAGGAGTGTACATTCAGTTAGGCTCTTTGGGAGATAGTTTATTTCCTGGGGAAGCTGCATATGTACACTGGTTCCTAGCATTGTTTTTCACGGCAGAATGGAAACCATGTCCATTGGCGAGAGAATGGCTACATAAGCTATACGTCCATCCATGGACACTGTACACATGAAAATGAGTAAGTGACAGCCAGGGATCGATCCTGCAAACGGGGTACGTGCCCTTGGCTGGAATTGAACCCTGGTCCCTTCTGTTCGAGGGCCGACTCTCTAACCACTGAGCTAAACAGGCTAGGGCTTGTATGGTTTTAATTACGTGTGGAACCAAAACCCCCAACAAATTACAAAACAAAACAAAAACAGACTCATAAAGACAGAGATCAAAGGGATGGTTGCCGGGGGC